TTTGCAAATCCTTATTATACGTGGCAGCAGCATCAGTTACATCATCATCATCATCTTTTTCTTCATTTTACGATTAATAACAGGACAATAAAACGACAGTTATTTATTTTTACGGATATCTTTTTCATTGATCTCTTTCCCATTATCCTTCATTTTGTTAAACTTTCTGAGTCTAACAATAAATCATAACGAGTTCGTCAAATAAATTTCAATTTAGGATTTTTTCATGCATACGAATTATTGTATTTCTATTTTCCGCGTATTGTTTTCTCTCAAGAAATGTTTCTTTTTTTTTTTATTGTCTGCTTACACGTATCAATCATTTTCGATCATTTTTCACGAATCAAATTTATCATCCCTTAACTCTTTCCTTTTCAACATAAAATCTAATTGAATTATGATTTAATCGTTTGAACAAAATTTAGATTTATAAATGCATTGTGTAACCCTTCCCTCTCCTCCCCCTTTCCCCCCTCTTCCCATACAAATAATTCGAACTTTGTATAGGGGGTTACACTTTTATTTATTTGTATTATTTAAAAATTAATCTTCTTCATTATCTTTGCGAATGAAAATTAATTTATATATATGTATATTATATACTTCGTTTTTCTCAAAATTTTTGTTTTTTTTTTTTCTTTTATTTTATCCGCTTAAGAAAAATATTTACACGTACGTTGAAATTGTTATTATTTTCTTTTTTTTCTTTTGGGGGCGAGGTGGTGGTGGTGGTGAGGGGGCAGATGTCAGGGTGTTCTTTTTCTTTACTTTTCTCGTGTCTTCTTTCATCTTTAAAACGAATATTCTCTTACAATGAGATTCACACATACATGCACACACATACACACACAATATCAAGGAATTGAATGAGAATTTATCGTATAGGATTCATGCAAAAACGAACCAATGGCAATGTCTTTCTTCTTCTTCTTCTTCTCTTGGTTTTTTTTTCTCTTGGTTTTTTTTTCTCTTCTTTTTTTTTTTAAATTAATCAACCAATCAATCAAACAATCCAATTTTAATTTGGCTCCTTTCTCGTTCTATTATATGATTCCATTGATAATACAAATCTCTACACGCGTTGTGTTATTATTATTATTATTATATTATTACACCGTTCTTTGATATATTTCTTTTTTTTCTTTCCCATTTTCGTTTTTTCCTTTTCTCTTTTTCAATTATCATACATTTTCAAAATGATATACTTTGTCGTTCAGTTTTAAAATTGGGATATAATATTATCTAGTTTTTCTCGCATATAGAGACTTATTAAATATTATTCATTAAAATTACGTTCTTCCTCTCTCTCTCTCTCTCTCTCTATCTCTCTTCCTTTTTCTGTTTTCCTTTCTTTTCTTTTTTTTTCTTTTTTTCTTTTCTCAATGAGATACGACACGAGACGAATGGTTAAAAAAAAAAATATTCATCTAAAAAAAAAAAAAAAAGAAAAAAAAATAACAACTTCCACATTTGATAATATTGAAGATTAATTAATAATACTGAATGATCTGGCACACTATAAGCACGAGCTGTATTATTCGATAGAATTTCTTCTATCACGTATATTTAGACAAGAGACTAAATATTAGTCTCTTATTTATTTATTTTATATTTATATATATATATATATATTATTATTATTATTATTACTATTAATATTATTATTTTATTCGTACGTAATATGCTGTACATCATATTATCAGTGAAGCATTAATTCATTCGAATTAATAACTACCGTTCTAATAAAAATTTTTAGAGGCAGGCAGTGTGCTTCAACCGATTCTATAATTAGAAATTATATATATATATATATACGATGAAAGACAATTACTAATTATCTAATCTCATAGGAATAATCATCAATCGTACACGTACGAACGCGTTAATCTTCGAAGATAAGCGAATGTTTTGTCTTCTTCTTTTTTCTTTCTGATCACACACTGATACTTATATGTATATATATATATATGTACACAGGTGTTTTTTTTTTTCTAATACAATTAATCTCTTTCTTTCTTTCCTTTTCCTTTTTCTTTTTCTTTACAAAAAAAATACTCGTTACTATTTTTATATATATATATATATATAATAGCATACACTGTACAAGAAATTGCATTTATGTTCTATAAAATATTGACGAGTGTGTTCGTTCGTGCGTGAAATAGTTCTAATAATTCTAAAATGATTCTCTCTAATTTGGAACGGGAAAAAAAAAATTAAATAAAAATTGTGAATAAAATTAAACAAACAACAACCAAAAAAAGAAAAATAAAGAGCAATTAAAAATGTAATTAATATCTAAACAACAGTTTGATACCCTCTAGTGTTATCATGGTGTGTATGGGTGTGTATATATCAATGTTTAATTAACCCTTTGCGGACTACCGCCGCATATATGCGTTCTGCGTAAATCATCAAATTGGCCGAAGAACTCATATATGCGTTTGGCGAAAACAGTTGATTGAGCCGAGAAACGCACATATGTGTTCCACGTAAATGTGTGGCTATGGCCGAGAAACTCATATATGCGTTCCGCGAAA